TGCTTTGAGTCAGGTCTGGCTATAGCTTAGACTTGAAAAATAAAAAATAAAAGAAAATGTACCATTCATTAAAAATAAACTATTAGAAAGGTCTGACTTCTTACAAGATAGAGTTCTTATATCTAAACCATCAAAAGGGGGGTTAGTTAGTACAGACGCAGCACATTTATTAAGAGATCAAAAGTTTGCTCAACACTTTGAAGAATTCTGGTCTAAGTTGTTTACAGTTGGCTTCAAATAATAAATCTCTAATTTTAAGCTGATTTTCTTCTATGAAAATAAGAATTTCACCACTTATTTGGAGGTTCTAGCAGCCACGGCTATCCCTTGACAGAACAGCCCTCCTCTGTGGGGGAAGGTTGTCCTCCTCGACCAAGCACACAGCTTCTGGGACGCACACAGGGAGTGGTGAGGGAGGTAGGGGACAGGCCACCTAGGCAGCCAGGTCAGCCCAATCAACCCAGGTGATCAGCCCAGCAACCCAGGTGATCCATCTATGACAGATGTCATAGCTAGATCCCCTCATATCTCAAAACAAGAATTTGAATGGAAATGCAAGGATTCCCCAGGTAACTTGATGACTATAGCATCCTGGAGTGCTGTGGGAGCTGCCTGGAGGGCACTGAGACAGGGATGCCGTCTAGGGGGAGGGCCTTCAAGCGTGACCTTTGTCCAGAGTTAGACAGCAAAGGGCCAAGCCACCAAGAACCACAAAAACGAGATTGGCCTGTTAACCCCTGTGCCAGGACTATGGCTACCACCTTCTTTGTGTTGTTCTGGTTTTAGTGTATGTGCTGCCAAAGTGAGCATAAAGAAAAAATCTCTGACATTAAAAACTGAGAACGGGAAAACCATATACTTTAATTAGATAAACATTAGCTCTTCTGGTCAGCAAATACAATCATGTCGACAGTGCTATGAATAACGTGAAATGCCAGATGACTTCTCCCTCTGAGCTAGCTGAACAGCACGCGAGAAACCAGGCACGCCTCACTGAGCCGTCCAACTTCCACAGAGAAGGGATCAAGAACTGGCCATTAGCCACAGACCTACAACTTACAAAGATAATCTACATGTTGAAAAATGAGGAGTTGAACAAAAATTGGTAATTCGTATTTATAGCTTTAAAAATTATTGACATTTTTAGATATTGAGATCTGCTAGAAACACTGAAATAGCCATAGGATAAGGGAAAGATTGAAATACTTTGGTGATTAAATTAAGAACATGGTATTATTCCTTAAAAAACTGAATTACTGGCTCGGCGCCTATAGCTCAACCGGCTAAGGCGCCAGCCACGTACACCTAAGGTGGCAGGTTCGAATCCCCAGCCCGGACCCGCCAAACAACAATGACGGCTGCAACCAAAAAATAGCCGGGCGTTGTGGCGGGCGCCTGTGGTCCCAGCTACTTGGGAGGCGGAGGCAGGAGACTCGCTTGAGCCCAGGAGTTGGAGGTTGCTGTGAGCTGTAATGCCACGGCACTCTGCCCAGGGGGACAGCTTGAGGCTCTGTCTTAAAAAAAAAAAAAAAAAGAAAAAAAAAACTGAATTACTGCTACATCACACCCTTCCTCTACCTCTGTCTATGTTCTCACATCCGGGAGTGTGAAGAGGTGCGGGAGATCTGTGTTTTAATAAATCTAGACCAGTGGGATTAAAAACAAAAGAAAAAATTTTAAACCTAATGGAACATACCGTGACCGTCAGACCCCTCCATGGACTTCAGTGTGTTTCTGGTCTGTTCCAACTCAGACTGTGCAGATTTCAGTTGCATCTTCAGCTTATTTGTAGTAGTTTCCATTTCTTCACTTTTGTTTCGAAAATTCCTTTTTAAGACTTCATAGTCCTCTGCATAGTATGATAATCAATGATAGTTACTTTTTCTCTCCCATTAATATAAAGTATATTTCATTTGCAATTAATAATCACAGAATTTTACAGCTGGAAGAGAACTCGTTTAGTTACGTCTTCATTTGCTACAAAAAATGAGACGTCCACACACAGCCCATCCACCTCCTTGTGATCTGTTTGGGTGGATCCTCCTCCTTTGCCCACTCATCACGCATGGTTGTTCCCTAACTATTGTTATTAGTCACAGCTATTTCATACTAAACTCTCCTGTGGGATCAATTTATCTATTATTAGATTTCCCCACCATTATCAGGTAGATGAATCTCCAGGACACTATGAGGAACTGAGGCCACCAGTGTCTTATCTGACTGTGTATATTCAGTGCCTGTCACAACACCTGGCACAAATTCATCATTCAATACATCAGAACACACACATGTTCACCATATGTTTACTTACTTCTACCTATTCATACATGATTAGGTTTATATATTAAAAAAACAAATCAATCTATTGGCTCCATCTATCCAGACATCTCCATGTAGATGTCTGTCCCAGCGCCACCTGAAACCAACTGCCTCACACTGACCACACCTCCTCCCCGGTCTCAAACTTGCCCCTTTCTGCCCCCCTCTCAGCTGTCATCACCCTCCCAGTGCTACAAACTAAAACCATGAAACCTCCATCTAACTCTCCAGTTACTAAGCCCTGTCGCTTCATCCCCCCAAACATTCTTCATTCTTTCCTCTTTCCATTCTCACCGCCATTGCCTTAGTTCCCAAGTCCTCATCATATTTTCCTGGGACTACTGCAAAATCCTCCTTCACCAGTTGGTCCCTGTTTCTTTAGCCTTCCTTGAATTAACCTGCTAGCATGATCATCCTAAAATCTGACACACTGGTGGCACCCATAGCTCAGTGCTTATAGTGTCGGCCGCATACACTGAGGCTGGTGGATTGGAACCCAGCCCAGGCCTGTCAAACAACAATGACAAATGCAACGGAAGAATAGTCGGGCGTTGTGGTGGGTGCCTGTCGTCCCAGCTAAAGGGAGGCTGAGGCAAGAGGATCACTTAAGCTTAAGAGTTTGAGGGTGCTGTGAGCTGTGATACCATAGCACTCTATCGAGGGCCAAAGCTTGAGACTCTGTCTCAAAATAAATAAATAAATAAATAAAATCTGACACAGCAATCCCCTACTTAACATCCCTTGCTGGCTCCACGGTGCCTGGCTCCATCTGCCTACTACCTCATTTCTCAGCCCCTTTCCTTTGTACTTTTGCTCCAGTGAATACTCCAGGTCACATTTTGCTGCTTCAAGCCTTTGTGCTTTTGCCCATAATGGTCTCTCTGCCTGGAAGGTCCTTCTACCTCTTCTTCGCCTGCCCAATTCCTTTCTCTCTTTCCAACCCAGGGTAGATGTCACTCCCCACAGGAGGTGAAGTCTGTGTCCTCTGTGCTCTCTGAATACAGTGTACATTCGCTGTAGCTCCTCCACTGGTCTGTCGCCCCTGTCTGTGTTGGTCTATTTTCCTACCAGACTGGGAGCTTCACTATGGGGTTTCTGAGCGGGAGGGGAGGGAGGGAAGGGAGAGTCGTGCTTGATACTGTACACACCAATAACGAACGAGAGTATTTCACTGTTTACTGTAAGGCCTTGTATTTTTCCTTTCAATTCATGTTACTTTATTATTAGGCCTTTAATCAAGTTATTGACTCAAAGGACTCGAGGTTTCCACTTCCATGAAAACAAAACTGTGCAAACAGTATGACTAATGCTCAACACCCACTGCCCTCCCGAGCTGGAATCTGGACCTCACCCTTCTCTTAGAAACTCAGGACAGGGCTCGGTGCCCATAGCTCAGTGGTTACAGCACCAGCCACACACACCGAGGCTGGCGGGTTCAAACCCAGCCTGAGCCAGCTAAATAACAATGACAACTGCCACAAAAGAAAAATAGCTGGGCATTGTGGTGGATGCCTATAGTCCCAGCTACTCAGGAGGTTGAGACAAGAAAATCGTCTTTAAGTCTTTAAGACTAAAGTCTTTAAGTCTTTAGACTCTTTAAGTCTAAGAGTTAGAGTTTGCTGTGATGTGAGCTATGACACCACAACACTCTACCAAGGGCAACACAGTGAGACTCTGTCCCCCCCCCCCAAAAAAAAAGAAAGAAAGAAAGAAACTCAGGACAGAATTTCCTGGACTCTGAGAGTTAACTAAAGTTAAGGTGAGTATAAGACACAGAAGCTTTTCTGGAGAACTATGAGGATTTTAGGCCATGAATAATTCCACAGGGGCAGCCTATTTGTCCACATTTATAATGCAATGAGACGCCTTTCTCTGGCAATCACACTAAGGTCTGTGCTGGACTTCACTGACAAGCACTCCTGTTTTTTAATAGGGTTTGATCTGAAGCAACGTACCTGAAATACTGTTCAGTTCATTCCTGCTAGTCTTCACCTCATTTAATAATTGATCTCTCTCGTGTTTGATGTCCTTCACGGCACGGAGCCGCTCGGAGCCTGCGTTCACCAGCTTCACCTTTTCCAGCTCCAGGTCACTTACTCTGGCTTCAAGCTCCCGGATCTTTGCATCTTTTTTATCTTTCAAAATCTAAATATGTGGGTAAATGCAAAGGACAGAGACAGAAGTACAAAATACACATATGTACAGCCCAGTGATACCATGTTAGGATTCTTCTATATTTAGTATCTTTTCCTTTTTCCTTTGCTGATTTTATCTTTTCACTGTAACAAATGCAGCCTGAGTACAACTGGGTGCTGAGTCCCCGGGGGATCATCAAACCCTGCCACAGGTGGTAGGAAAGGCCTCTCTGACGAGGTAGCACGTGAGCAGGAGACCGAGAAGCAAGCTGAGTGGGCAGCGGGGAAGAGCTGTAGGTACAGGTGAAGTGTGGGGAAGAGCCAGGCTGCCAGGAGGGAGTGCCCAGGAGGAAGGAGGGCAGAGAAGGATCACAGCAGCCAGAGGCGAGGCAGAAACCTGAGACTTCCTTCTGCACGTGACAGGAAGGCACTGGGCAGTCTGAGTGTGTTTCACAGACATAACTCCGGCTCTAACGTGAGGAACAAACAGTGGGGGGAAGGGAGGAGAGGTCAAAGTCTGTAAGTCATTACCGAAGTTTTGAGATAGATAAAAATCAAGAAACATAAAGTCTGCACAGATAGAAACAAATTAAGCCCTCCCAGCAACATCCATCAGCAGAGCAAGTTGAAACTTGCAGAGGTGAATCACAAAGGATGCTGCTGGCTGTTTTTTTGGAAGTGAAATAATGGACCATAACACAGTTTGTTTCAAAACTCCCATGGTGGCTCGGCACCTTATAGCTCGAGCGGCTAGGGCCCCAGCCACATACACCAGAGCTGGTGGGTTCAAATCCAGCCTGGGCCTGCCAAAAACAGCAATGACAACTACAACCAAAACAAAACAAAAAACAAAAACTTTCATGGTGACCCTTGGAGACCAGTGAGAAAGCACTTGGAAGAGCAAACGAGAAAGGGGGTAACTCAGACGGGAGCGGCGCGTAGCGGTGGGTCTGGCGCTTAAACGGAGTGGGGAATACGAATATGAATTTGGCAACTTAAATTCGCTATTTCCAACTAACTGCAGACATGCCCAGCTTGGAATGCATCTGTAAACTCTGCTCGAAACGCTCTTACTTTCTTCACACAGGGCTCTTCCTCCGGACTCCCTCCTGCACCTCTATTAGGGGCACTGCCATGGTGCCAGGCTCAGTCTGAGCCCTCCAAGTGGGCTGTGTCTTTCCCTTTGTCTCACAGGGGCCACCACCCTCGCCTCGTCTGTGCTGGGAGGCCTCCTAGAAGCCCCGCTCTTCCCAGGACCAAGGTCTGCACAGCCCAGCACAGCAGCCACAGTGACTACTGAGCACTTGAGATGTGCCTGAGCCAAGGTGACACGTGCTGCTCGCGTAAAATACACACCAGATTTCAAAGACTTTATATTAAAAAATTCTTAAATATCTCAATAATTTATAATATTGATGATAATGTAAAAATCACCATATTTTGGATATAGAGTTAAATAAAATATGTTATTAAAATTAAATCACTTTTTAAAATGTGTCCACTAGAAAATTTAAAATTAAATATATGGCTCACATAATATTTCTAGTGGACAGAACTGGCCAACTAAATACCATTGAAAAATAAATTTATTTTCTCTTATCAACAGATTGTTTCCCCAAATTGAGGCCTATTCTTCTGGTCAGTGCAATCAGACTGAGAAAATGGCAGCTTAACATAGAGACCAGGGCTATGTTTGAAATGTAAAGACAAGCTCTCAGCTGTTCAAAAACAGATCGGTGGGGCGCTGCAGTCTGACCACCTGTGATAGGGTTGGGCAGTAAAGACCCTACCCTGGGCTATCTGATCCCTGCCACTCCTGGCACCTGTCACATGAAATTCAGCTGGCCTTGCGGGGGAGGGACAGGCAGGCTCTCCTCAGGCCAGCCTGAAGCATCACAAGTACTGGCCCTGTCCCACCTCCCGGAGCCCACGGAAGGATGCTTAGTTTGTCTTACAAGGAGGATCCATGGTGAGGGCCCTCCATTACTGGGAGCAGTGCTCCCCGCCTCCCTGCCACCTGTAGCCTAGGGTGAGAGGTCACACCTCGGGGCTATGGGGCTACAATTTCTCTCTTTTTTTCCTTACCAGAATGTGAAGGGGAGTAGATGGGGCATTAAAGATCAAGCTTCTAACTTACATTCTTTGTGTCTCAGTGAAACTCTTGTGGGCCAGATGAGTTGATTAGGCTCTCTCCCTGAAGGCCCACAGGTGCCTGTTATCCTTAGTGACTGTGATTAAGCAACACGACGCCATTTTACACAGTCAGGTGGCTGCAGACCTCCCCTGCGTGCACTTCCTGTGCTGGTTCACCTGCTGCCGCCCCCTGACTGCAGCACGTCACGCCTCACAGCTACCCAGTTCCCCAGTTCTTCGGCACCTCGGTTTTTCTACATTCTGTCCAAATCTGGTGTGAACTCCCTGGCCTCAACCTTCTGCACCCTGTCTTCCCTTCTAGGAAATCCTTCCCTGAAACTGCTCCAGCTCCGTACTTAGGAACTGAAAATCGGTTTCTCTCTCTGCAATCCGCTTTTGCACTCTGATGCCACATTAAACTTTCCACATTGCCTTTTTCATGTCTCCACCCATAGAACTTTCACAGCTCCTACATTGTCTCTAAACTACACCCTGAGCTGCTTCCCCTTGCTCAGAATACCTTCTTTCCTCATTTCTGCCCAGTTTTTGCCCATTCCAAGTTCCTATGTGGCCTTCAGTGGCCACTCTAGGTATGGTGACAAATGCTCCCTGCAGATATCTAAGACAGATCTTGGCCCACGCTCTCTGGGCCAGCAGTATCAGCGTCTCCTGGGAACTTGTTCAGGCCCCATTCTGAATCAGAGACTCTGGGAGTGGCCTAGCCACCAACCAGCTTATGTTCTAACGAGCCATCTGTGACTCTGCGTTGTAAGATCTACTCACACTGCCTGGGACCACATCTCAAAGGAATGCCCTGTCTGGCAAATTACTTAGTCTCTCTCTCTCAGCTTCCTCATCTGCGTACCAGGATAAGAGTGCCTCCCTCATAAGGTTTTTGCAAGGATTAAACTGATTTAATTTTTAGCGTATGAGAATAGGATTCTCCCATTTGAACCCTTAACAACACTAGTAATCCATCCTCTCAGGCAAGGGGCACAGTCAGCCTTTCCCCTCTGCTGTGCTCTGCCCCGCATGACACCTATTCTAAAGTTCTTATTTCAGGCTTCACCATGGAGAATCTTTCATCTGTCCCTTTATGGCCATTTAAAAATACAAGATCAAATGAAAATTTAAACAAAAGAAAATTCTAATTTTCATGTAATTAACTTGTTTCTTCCATAAGATAATCATCTATTGCTGGTCCTGGGTCTAGAATGAGAAAACTGAGGCATGTAAAGCTGGTGTGACTGTGTCCTGCTATTCACCAAGTCAGGGACAGGTGACATAAAACTTTAGAAATCAATATTTTAAAAACTCCGTGTAATCCTTTAGGATTTTAATAAATATTTACTCAGCACCTTCTTGGTATAAGGTACTAAGGCACGGGGCTGGGAGTAAAAAGATTAGTAAGATGTGAACCTGGATGAATAAGTCTGTGATGTTACAGAGAAAAAGAGACATGGCCACATACACACAGCCTGCTATCCAGAATGCAATCCAGGTGCCAACAGGTGCCAGAGTGGGATAAAGCTGGGAAGGAAAACAGAATGAGGGAAAGAAACTAGTATTTACTAAACACCTTACACAGGCCAAGAACTAGGCTAAGTCCTTGATTTAAGCCTCACAGTAGCCCAATGAGGTTGGTGGGGGTTTGTTCTGTTTGCTTTCTGTTTTCCTCCGCTTAACAGGTATGGAAACCAGGATTAAGCAAAAAGCCCAATGGTTCTCAGTTATTGAATGGTGTGATATGGAGCTCAAACTTCGGTCTGTCTGAAGAGGGAGAAAATACTTCACCCTGTGGGCCCAGGGAGGGATTCACGGAGCAGCTGGATTTTGCAAATATTCTTTCTTTTGTACCTGTGATTTTGAAGCACTGTGGGGCCATCTATTCCTATTGGATTGGATAAAAGTGTGTATCCCTTCTCGCAGAAAACATATGCACACAAATACTTTCAGACGCTTTCAGATACCAAGAACCCCCTTTTCAGTAAATTGGCTCTCAGAGGAGAAAGGATCCTTCAGAAATCACCCCCAGATGCTCTACAGACCTTAAACTCCTGCAGCTCCAGCCTCCTGTCGTTGATCTCCTTCTCCAGCTGGGCTTTCTCCACCTGCATGGCGCCGGCAGTGCGCCCGTGCTGGCCCACCAGCTGCGTCATGTTCTCAATCTGCTGCCGCAGGATCTCGATCACCTTGTCCTTCTCCGTCATCTGCAGCTTGAGGGCCTCGCACTCAGTCTGCACGTTCCGGAGGTGGTCCCCCTCGTTCTTCAGGTGCTGCAGCTCCTGCAGCTTCAGGTCCACTCGGGAGCGCAGCTTGGTGATCTCGGCATTGGTGGCCTCGATGGCCCTCTCCTTCTCCTGCAGGGAGGCCGTCAGGTCTGACACCGTCCGCTCCGAGCTCTCCAGGGTCATCTTCTTGGCTGTCAGCTCTTCCACCACTTTGCGGAGCATCTCTTTGGTGGATTCTAGCTGAGCAGTCAAGGAGGACACTTTTTCCAGACTTTCATTCTTTCCCTGAATTGCTGCCATCTGTTTGTCAAAGATAAGAGAATTTCATGTATTTGGGAGGACCGACATAGGCAACCTCAGGAGATACTACAAGTTCACTCCAAAGAACGATAAGGATAATGTCTAGTCAGATTCATGCAAATCATTTTGCTGTCAGAACTCCAGCCCTTCTAACATGTGTAAGACTGACTTGTGCTAATCAGACCCCGGTGCAGGGGCTCCATGAAACAGTGCTCCTCCATAATGGTTCTCCAGGACAGGGGAGCTCGGGAAGTTTCCTCTGAGGACCTTTTCTGTAACCATTTAGATTAAGGTAACCTCAGCAATAATAGGGGAGAAGGGTAGTAGGACTGACAATAACTACCTTTATTTGTTATTTCCCTCCAATCTTCTCCTTAATTCTACCTCTGTAGAAAAAAAATAAACAATGGGTTTCATTCAACACACATTTACATTCTCCGGTTCTCATTTGGAAAGATGAAGATTCTAGCTTCCAGTCGCAGCTTGCCCCTCTCTTCCTGGCTAGGTGGAGACTACGCTACGGACTCTGCCTGGGTCTAAGCCGAGACTGGTCCCTTGGTTTGCTGTCACATTTTGGGAAGCTTACACTTTTCTGGGCTGCTTTCTTTCTTTCTTTTTTTTTTTTTTTTTT